TTAGTAAATATCATGCAGAAGCTAGAGAATTCCTATTATTTCTTAAATTTACATAGTGTCTCCCTAACTTTTGGAGACCAAGGAAAGAAAAATTAGGTTAGTCAAAGAGTAGTGAGAAATGTTCCTCAAGGGACCCACCACGACTCTCCCTGCTAGCAACTCTATTTTAGAGAAGCATGATCATTCATGTATTGAACTAATCATGGCAATTAAGGATAGAGTGAACTCATAATTACTGCAAGTAGAAGAATGCAGTCTTTTTTTTTTAAGAATGTGCTGTCTTAACCATCTGTTAAACATCTTCATGCAACTGTTACTTAGTTTTTGCCCTTAGCCTGCTAATATATAAGACAAATAGTGCTTGTGTCCATTAAATGCAGGTGGAAGACTTGTATTAACAAATAGATAGACACATATTACTTAAAAGCAGATATTGATAATTTAGGTGGATTTGAGGCTAATTTGCTGTGCATTGCTATGAAGACAGAAAAGACATTTTGAAATAGCAAGAGTGAGTTAGAGAGAAAAGTGAAAGGAATCCCAGAAGTAGAGAAAGAGTAAGAGCTGATGACAGTGGCACAGAAAGCAATAAAAAAAAGTCAGTGCTTCCTTAAGGTGTCGCTTGGTTCTCTTTCTACATCTTTTTGTGTTACAAATCCCATTTTTCCTATTCCGTATATTTCTGCTCAATGTTTCTATTTAAAAATAGTGTCTCCATCATGGAAAAAATTACAAATCATAATGATAACTGGGGTATAATCTGAAAGAATCACAGAGTAGGCTTGTTTACCATATAGCCTCAACAACTCATGCTCGTAGCTACTCACTATCCTCAAAGCCATATACATTCACCTTCTGGATTTCCTCCTGGTTCAGAACACATTAGGTACTATTTCAAAAATATCTTTACTTGCTGCTTCTAAATCGTCAATTAAATATATCCTACAAAACCCCATGATCCAACAATTTCACTTCTGAGTATGTATCCAAAGGCAATGAAATCAGTATCTCACTGCAGCACTTTTCACAATAGCCAAGACAGGGAAACAACCTACATGTTTTTCAGTGGATGAATGGAAAAAGAAAATGTGGAACACACACACACATACACACCTTGGAATATTATTCTGCCATAAAAAGGAAGAAATCTTACCATTTGAAAAAAAAATAGATGAAGCTGGAAGGCATTAGGCTAAGTAAAATAAGCAAGACATAGGAAAACAAATACTGTGTGATGTCACTTTTGTGGAATCTAACAAATGAAAACAATTTCATAAAAACAGAGAATAGGGGTACCTGGGTAGCTCAGTGGTTGAGCATCTTTGGGTCGGGTGGTGATCCCGGGGTCCTGGGATTGAGTCCCATATCAGGCTCCCTGCAGGGAGCCTGCTTCTCCCTCTGCCTGTGTCTCTGTCTCTGTGTTTCTCATGACTTAATAAATAAAATCCAAAAAAAAAAAAGAAAAAGAAAAGAAACAGAATAGAATGGTGGTTGCCAGTGGCTGACAGGAGGGGGAAACAAGGTAATGCAGGTCAAAGGTTACCACTTTTCAGTTACCATAAATTCTTAAGATCTAAATACAACATGATGACTATAGTTAAAAAGGTGGTATTGTATACTTTTAGGGTAGATCTTAATTCTCACCACACATACACACACAATTAAGTATATCATGTGATGGATGTGTTAATTATCTTGATCTTGGCAATCGTTCCACAATGTATATGTATATCAAATTGTTACAATGTAAATTTTGAGCATATGTAATTATACTTGTCAATTACTCCTGAATAAAGTTTAAAAAACATTTACTACCTTAGAAATACTGTAGCTTGATAAAATAAAAGAAAGGATACCCAGTTAAATTTAAGTTTCAAATAATTTTTCAATGTATGTATGTTCCAAACATTGCAAGGAACAGGGAGTATAGCTTTTGTTTGTCTTTGGTATGGTTTTCATTTCATTTTGTTTGTTTTTGTCAAGTCTGGAAATTCTCCTTATAAGATAAACTTCACTTTGCCCATCACAATAAACCACTCCAAGCATTGTGTGGCTTAGACAGAGTTGGAATAGAAGTTCAAAGAGATGGAAACCTGGCACAAAAAAAAAATGAGTAGCGTTTCTGAATATGAGTCGAGGACAAAAATTCATGAACCTGTGGATGTGTTGGCTATGTTCACAACCTTTTTTGCACCCTGAAGTAAGAATTTTGAATTTCCCATTTCAGTTTTCTGACTCTGATGATGCAGAATTGAAGAGATGTATAAGGAGAAAAAGACCTTGGAGGAGTAGGGATGAAGGTATAAGTCAGATCAGAATGTGCTGAGATTTCGTTGGAAGAGAAGAGAAAGAATAGAAAAGGGAGAAAAGAAAAGATAGGGTAGGGAGAAGGACCTAAACCGTAGAAGACTTAACTATAGAGAACAAACTTAAGGTTGCTGTGGGGAGGTGGGCAGGGCATGGACTAAATGGTTGATGGGGATTAAGGAGAGCACTTATTGATGAGCACTGGGTATTATATGTAAATGATGAATCACTAAATTCTACTCCTGAAACAAATATTGCATTATATGTTAACCAACTATAATTTAAATAAGAATTTGAGACAAAAAATGAGTAAGAAAAGGTAGCATAGGAAGGAAAAGAGTGCCAAAGACCTTGTTTTAGAACTGTTTCTTTTGCATTTTTGAGCAAGTGAGGTAGAGAGATATTTTGGTGAGGCAGCTGTTTTCCAAGTGAATGAAACCTAAAGTGGCCACAACAGGCAGAGAAGATTTTTTTTAAGATGCTTGAATTAATGTAGAGATGCATTTCTTCCTGTCAATAGGTTTTGTGATAGGCAGCAGTAAAGGCTAAAGCCGTTCAGTAGAGAATGTTTCTTCGAAACTAACACTACACAGAGACTAGACAATTAGGACTCTGCTTGTATATTAGGGTTATACGCAGATGCACACTATGGACTAGCAGAAAGCTGGACAAGGGAATGAAAACAGGTCCCTGTCCTCCCTATCCTACAAACTGCATGTCTTTATACATCTCCTTATGCTCGCAGCCTTTTAATGAGCTCAAGAATCTATTTAAAGAAGAAACACATACTTCTCCAAGAGAAAAAAGTTCTAATCATTTTTTAAAACTCATTAAGGACAAAAAGAGTTCAGAAAATGCTCATGATAAGGAAAAGAATGTGTTACTCCAACTATACTACTCTTTCAGATTTCTTCTATCATTCCTCCTCCCCTCTTGCATCATCAAGCAGGCCAGGTTTAGAACAAACTTTCACTTCACTTTGTCCCATGTAGGCTTCAAGTTTGCTGTCACCCTAATTAAACTGGTGTGGTGGAAGACATACATAGATCTTGTAAAATCTTTTTTAAAATGCAGTAAGTGGCTCTTCTTTCCCACCTCTCAACTATATGCTACCGTATTATTTCATTTACAATTTACATATGTACTTCAGCATCAGCATTTTGTTCTCATTTATGTGAATAAGACATGCATATATATATAAGGCAAGGGCATTTCTGAGAAAGGCACCTCTTCAAGCTGGTCTTCTGTGGCATTCAATTATAAGAAATGAAGCTAAAGGAAAAGAGAAAGGAATTAAATTGCCTGGGGAGTACTAGGGGGTGTCTATGCCTGTCTTAGTATGGAGTTACTTCTCTTGTTTACTGCTTACCTGTACCAGAGAATAGACTATGAAACAATAGCAGGATGGAGAGATAAGGTGAAAGGAAAAGCAAAGCAATGTGCTCGTAATATCTTGTTCTGAATATCCCTCCAAATGATAATGTTTAGTATAATCTGGTGAATTATAAACTAAGGTGTTAGGCTTTTTTAAGGTCATTTTTACTTTGCAAAATGTGAACAAATCAAAACACTTTGCTGTGATTCATTAATTTACTACAAAGGAGCCAAGAACATGCAATGGGGAAATAAATGGTGTTGGGAAAACTAGACCGCCATACGCCAAAGAAATAGGATCAGTATCTTATACCATACACAAAAGTTAACTCAGATAAAGATTTTAATGTAAATCCTGAAACCATAAAACTCTTAGAAGAAAACACAGACAGTAACCTCTTTGGCATTTCTTTTGGTGTTGAATTTTTGTATCTGACTCAAAAGCAAAGGCAACAAAAGCAAAATAAGCAAGTAGGAATGCATCAAACTAAAAGCTTCTAAATCCAAAAGAAACCATTGACAAAATTAAAAGACAGCCTACTGAATGAAAGAAAATATTCACAAATCATATACGATAAGGGGCTAATATCTAAAATATATAAAGAATTCAACTCAAAAGCAAAAAGAATCCAGTTAAAAATGGGAAGTAGATCTAAATAGACAACTTCCCAAAGATGATGTACAGATAATGAAAAATATGAAAAGATGTTAAGTATCACTTAATTATTAAGAAAATGAAATCAAAATCATAATGAGATATCATCTTGCACCTGTTAGAATGATTATCATAAATAAATAATCAGTGTTGGAAAGAATGTGGAGAAAAGAGAACCTTCATGTAAACTGGTATAGCCACTATGGAAAATAGTACAGATGTTCCTCAAAAAATTAAAAATAAAATTATCAGATAAATAAATATTAAGACATATTCTGATAATTGAAAAAAATAGTAGAATACTATGATGGCCCTAAGTATTATTTGCTTTGATTATTGTATCATTTGGCTATTTCTGCATAACTGTACTAAATCAATTGATTTGTATAATGCTTTTATCATAGAATGGGATTATATGTTGGGGAGTTGATCTGATCTCTGGATACTCACGAGCCTGTAGTCAGCTGTGAATCACTACATTGTGTTTTTAGAGCTTATCCATGATGTTGTAGGGTTGGTAGTACACCTCTCTCTTGAAACATTATATGAACACTTATTATCTATATATGTAGGTTATTTTTCTAGTTTTATTAAGATGTAATTGACATAAATGTATACATTTAAGGTATAGGGCATAATGGTTTAACTTACAGATATTGTAAAAATGATTACCACAATAAGTTTAGTTTGCATTCATCATCTCATATAGATACAATAAAAAGAGGGGCACCTGGGTGGCTCAGTCAGTTAAGTGTCTAATACTTGATTCAGCTCAGGTCATGCTCTCAGGCCAGTGAGACAGAGCCCTGCATTGGGTTCAGGGATGAGAGTGGAGCCTACTTAAGATTCTGTTTTTCCCGCTCCAACTTGTGCATTCCATCTCTCTCTAAAAAAAAAAAAAAAAATTTTAATTAATAAAATAAAATAAAATAAAAATAAAAACCACCACCACAACAACAAAAAAATACAAAGAAAAAGGGAAAAATAACCCACCACATGATCCAGCTATTCCACTTCTGGGCATTTGCCAAAAGAAAATAGAAACACTAATTTGAAAAGATATACATACTCCCATGTTCATTACAGCATTGTTTTCAATAGCCAAGATATAGAAACAAGCAATGTCCATTGATGAATGAATGGGAAAAAAAAGATGTGGAATATATATACCACAAGGAGCAAGGTGGGAAACATTTTATTAAAGCAGAAAGAATTCATTCTCTTAAATATCCACCATTCTGTTTATATATATATATATATATATATATATATATATATATATATATCCACCATTCTGTTTTATATATATATAAATATATATAAATATATATAAATATATATTCTGTTATATATATAAAACAGAATACTATTCGACCATAAAAAAGAAAGAAATCTTTCCATTTGTGACAGTGTAGATAGACCATGAGGGTATTATGCTAAGCAAAGTAAGTCAGACAGAAAAAGACTAGTATGATTTTACTTATATGCAGAATGTGAAAAACAAAACATGGAACTCAAAGAAGCAGAAAACAGGTTGGTGGTTGCCAGAGGTAGGAAGCAGAGGGTAGGTGAAGTAGGTCAAGTGAGTCAAAAGGTACCAACTTCAAGGTATAAAATAAGTAAGTCCTGAGAGTATATCATACAGCATGGTGACTAAATTATCAAGACTAGATTGTATATTTGAAATGTGCTCAGGGAGTAGATCTTAAAATTTCTTATGACTAGGAAAAAGATTGTAACCATGCAGTAAGAGATATTAATTAGACTTATTGTGGTGATAATTTTGCAATGTATACATATAGTGAATCATTAAGTTGTACTCCTGAAACGAATATGTCATACATTCATTATATCCCAATTAAAAAAAAAAATCAGAACAGATCACATACGGATTTTAAAAAATAAAAATTTGTCAGGTGCTGTCATTATTAACTAGTACATTAATCTATTTTTTAGCACAGCATATCCAGTAGTAGGGCAAGAAAAAATCAGCCTGAGAGCTAGAAAAATCTGAGAAAAGGCAAAACAATTAACTGGCATAATAGTTTTTTAAAAAAACTAGAATTACATAAGAATTAAGTTTGACATGAGCAAGGTTGGAAACATTTTATTAAAGCAAAAAGAATTCATTCTCTTAAATATCCACCATTTCCCTTAATTTAATACTATTTCCAGCTCATGTTGACCTCTTACAGGTAAAATCCAATTCCCCTGCCAGATATATCTTATACACCGAGTGCTCAGAAGTATAGGAAATTAGAGGAATAGAGAAATAAAGACAGAAACGGGGCCATGAGAGAAAAATCACAGTCTACAAATGAGCCAGGAAGAGCCAGGAAGGGGGCAGGAGGTTAGTCACTAGGGGAAAAAAAATCGTTATAGTTCTGACAAAAATAGGAACAGGAGGTAAGGTTTTCAGATGTAAAGTTGAAAGTGAATTATAAAAAGCTGCACAGATATTATTAAAACCTGATTACCCACAAGAGAGAGCACACTACTTCTGCCCATAAAGGCAGTGCCTGGAAGTGACTGGAAAGCATCAATGTTTAGGATCAACTTTAGCTACAGAGTAAACAACTATGGGTTGTTTCTATGTTCAATCCCTAATTTTTGACCATTCTCTGGGTGCCAGTGTCCAACCTTGGGCTTTCTTTGTGTGACTTGGTATAGTTTAGGGAATGAAACCATAGTATGTGTTCATCAGATTTTACCCACACTGTTGATATTAATATTCTTTCATAATCAAGGAGAAATAAGCATTAGAAGTCATCTCAGACAGATGATCTGAAGATGAACCTGAAGATTGCTGTCTGTGTGTATGCAAGCCTGCCCCGCTGAGAAGCAGCCAGCCGTTTCCTTTGGTGTTTCTCATTGGAAGAATCGCGCCTCCCAATCAGATGTTCCCCAAATGGCAAGGACCACCATGCTTTCTCCTCGGCTCCCAGCCTCACCTGGTCTCATGGTGCCCAGGAACTCTCTATGCCCATTTTCACTCAAAATGTACATGTTTTGTATCTTACTCCCACATTGAAGAGATCACATGTGAATCAAGAAAAGGATTTTCAGTGGGTCACAACGCTGTAATCTCTCTGGAATTATATTTGAATTCTAAAATACATTCAGGAGTTCTGGCAATATCAGTTACTGGGGGTGAGGAAGAGGTTATGGAGTATCCACAGGCATTCTAAAAACCTACCACTTGGGTGAATGCCATTCCAATCTTATAAGAGAAAGCTTGCATTCAGGATGCTTCTCAGAGGCTTGGGGAGGGAAACAAGCTCATTAGAAAGCCACAGCTCCTCTTGGAATTAACATTACCAAATAATTGACCCATTTCACCCTAGGGTCTCTTCTGGAAACCCAGCTGCCCTAAAAAGGCCATGCTTCGGGCCCCTTATGGGAGAGACCACACTCTTCAGGTAAGGAAAGGAGTGTGAAGTTTTCTCCTTCTCTAGCCAAGTGTCCTTCCCACATGTATTAGTTATTGAGACATCTTTCAGTTGTTTTTATTTCCATCCCCCTGCTTCCTTCTTTCCTCCATCCAGCCATCTATCTATCCACCCATTCAGGAACCTACAATGACACCAGCAGCCTGCTAGCTTCAGGGGGCAGAGCTGAACAAGCCCAACAAGGCTGTTGCCCTCATGGAGTTTTATGTTCTAAAGAAAGAAAACAAATAATCATAGAGTTTAAGGATATGAGACAAATCAGTCAGTCTGATAGAGGAAAAAAACTAGAAGGGGAGGTGACCACTTTTAACAGGATCATCAGGGAAGGCCTCTCTAAGGAGGTGGCATTTTAGCTGTTATACAAAGGAAGAAGGCATACCATCATATGGAGTACTGAAAAACAGAATACTTGAGAAACTATGACTTGTAGAAAAAAACTCGACATGGAAATGGCTTTATGTGTTCAAGAAACAGAATAAAATGATACACTTGGAGCATAGGAAGCAAGACAGAGAGTGGAACATGGTAAAGTGGGAGAATTTAACAGGAAATAGAGTTTATGGAACCTCATAGCCTTGGAAAAGAATATGGATAGTGTTCTAAGAATCATGGAAAGCCAATGGAAGATTTTATAATAGGGGAAGACAAGAAGGGATTTGCACTTTTAAACAGATCCCTCTAGCTAATCTGTAGAGGACAAGATGTGGGGGGAGGACAAGGGGGAAACAGCAGGTGGAACAGTTTGGAAATGGTCATAGCAATGCGGGTGTGAGAGGATGGAAGTGTGGGTTTAAACATTCCGGTACAAATGGACAGAAGTGGATGGATTTCAACTACATTCTGGAGGTAGAAGCAGGAAGATTTGCAGATCAACTGAATTGAAGGTAATGGAGGAAATTAAAGAGATCAGGATGTTTCATTTGAACAACTGGAAAATAAAGAGAAACACATGGTTGAGGGAGAAAATCATGACATTTGTTCAGGTTAGAGATGCCTGAGATGTCCCTGCAGAACTGAGAAATTTATAGTTGAACAGTTCAGTCTGAACTGGGAAGGACTGAAAGCCTCCAATCTATGCAATGCACCAAGGTCTATGGGAAGTGTATGGAATATAACTGTATGGATATAAAGTATTTTGCTCAAGTATGTCTTTTTAATTTTTTTATTTATTTATGATAGTCACACACAGAGAGAGAGAGGCAGAGACACAGGCAGAGGGAGAAGCAGGCTCCATGCACCGGGAGCCCGACGTGGGATTCGATCCCGGGTCTCCAGGATCACGCCCTGGGCCAAAGGCAGGAGCTAAACCACTGCACCACCCAGGGATCCCTTGCTCAAGTATGTCTTAAGCAAAATCAACCTACTGTGGCCACATTTGCTAAATCCTACTGTATAAAAGAATAGGAATGCTAAGAAACCAAGGATACTATAACTGTTCTTAGAAAGAATATATATATGAAAAAATATATTTAGAATGTATTGAGTGGTAAATAAATTACATAGAAAAAAAACCTAAAGGAGACATGGCTGGAAGTCACAGTGTCACAGCACAAGGAATAGCATGCATGAAGTTCATCAGACCTGAGTTTCATTCTTAGTCCCTTACTGGTTATGTGTGTCTGAGCAGTTCTTTCAAGTTCCTTAAACCCTGGTCTTCTCATTCTAAAATGGGCGCATTACTGCTATATTCAAGGCGTTGATGAAATGTACAGTGGAAAATGGTTTGCCAATGTAAAACTGGCATCCACAATAGACAGGAGCAACCAAGCTAAATTCCCAGAATAGATGGGATTTCAGTTGGGCCTTGAAGAACAGGTAAAAGTGACAGCAACTGTCAGGGTTGTAAAGGCAGGAAGGTCCAGGTCAGGACAGCCTTATAGAGATTAGCAGGTATTGACATCCTCCCCAACAGTAGAGGATTGTCATATATCATCTGTCAACCCACAAGTTCCCCTGGCAGCATCACTCAATTTCTGAAACTCAATATAGTAATCTTTGTGAATGAGTCTCAGGTAAATTGACACAGGTGACTGTTTCCTGTTCAGAATGTAAGAAAAATAACAGTTGACCTCCTTTTTCATCCAATGTACTAGTGGTCACATGGAAGGAACTTGAAACCCACTAAGACTTGATATATATATCTATATATATTAATATATGGTGTTATATAGAGAGAAGCTATAGTTATACATGTGTATTAAATATTCAATATACATATAAGGCCCAACATATCATCAGTATATATAAGTCCTTGATACAAACCTAGTGTAAATGCAAAGATAATAAAAATTCTTTGTATTTTGGGGGTTGGTCAGAATGAACTTGGACATGCAGTACAACCTGGAGGTTGCAAATTTGAGGAGGTCTTGTTCAGGATCATCCCTGAAGTATATGGTTTTCCTTCATCATCTCCTTATACAAGTTTCTCCACATAAAT